ATCGAGTGAGACATATTATTCGATTGGGTTGCATGAAAATTCTACACGAATGAGTCGCTGCACCAGTGTATAGGCATGGAAAAATCAAAAAGTAAGTATGGTGATACATCAGTGGTGTTCTCATAAAAAAGATGGAATTATTTCGGTTGATTCTTTTTTTAGGTATTTTATAAAAAAATTAAGTTGGTGATGATTTCTCGATTGAAAATCTGTCATTCTGTACATTCTGGAAAGTGGCAATGAGAAAGTTTGTTTTCTCAATTTCTACATGTATAACATCGGAAAAAAATAAAACAGGATTGGCGACTTTTGGAATGTCATTAGAATAATTACTATAATGAGCAACTCTCTTTCCCAATTCAACCGAGTTTGTATTCCTCACAGTTTCTTCTTTGCTGATGTGTTTCCACAGCACTTAGGCCATTGAATTGAATAGCAGTTCAAGAATAGCGTTATCTGCAGTATTTAATGTTTTATGGTCAATATTCACATTGCAAAACAGCTTTTTAAACGGTTTCATTCTGCTTGCCCTGTTTGTTTGGGTCACATTTACGAATTGAAGTTTGGCCCCATTCCTGCTGACACAACTACCTCAATATGGGTATCAAATAACAGGGCTTGACTAGTAGATTAGTAGTACACTTTGAAAAAGATGCAAATTCAAGATGGCCGCAGCGAACTACATGTTATTTCTATTATTTCAAAACTATCTCAATATGTTGCAGTCCAATATTGACGTATAGGAAGGATTGGTAAACGGTGCTACATTGCTACAGCTACAGCTACATTGCAGAAATTGTTTAGACTCCGTTTCGTCGAACTCAAATGTACGAAACAGATGTACTGTCAGTTTGAATTCACTTTGGAAGAAACGGCGTACATCTTATTCACTCCAAAGCCATACAGCTTCCAGCAAAGTTCAATTATGGGACGGCTGAAAGAAGAATTGTCCACAAAATACAAGGCAGATAATAATTATGTAACCATGGGCTGAAAAATAATTGAGAAGGTTCTAAGTAGCAGTCATCACACTACTCTCCTCAGCAATCTACGGTCAGATGAAGAAATGTAGCGTAACCTTAGTAAATATGTAAATAACACACCCAACGATTCCAAAATCAGATCAATACCGTAGATTGTTGAGGAGAGTGGTGTGATGACTACTACCTTAGACCTTTCGAATAATTTTTCATCATTTAGTACATTATCTACATCATTATCATCTTTGTTTTTTCAGTCAAATCGTTTAACCCGAATTTTCTTACATATTTTGTTTTCTGATTTTTTTCCATTTCAACTGAGTCGCATCAATCACGGGGATTATTAGCACTATCTAGATTCACAAACATGAAATTTCGCAAATTGCACTCGATGAAAATCAGATATTCGCAAGTGGAAAAACTGAATCTTATCAACAATATAAAAAAAATATAACAAGTCTTCTGCTATGAATGTCTCTCAATATAATATGAAGATACAGCTTATCATTATGGTGTAGCACGCATTCAGTCAACAGGTGTTTTTGACACTGAAGAACTTTCGATGGACTTAATTTGGACATGAACTTTATATAGAAATAGGCAAATATTGCACTAAAACATTTCAGAGGACTTTGAGTAAATTTATAACTTCATGTGCTATTCATCAAAAGAAAAAAAAATATCATTCCATATTTTGACGAAATAAGAACTGAAAAAAAATTTTGAATCATTTTTCCCATTCCTAACTTTTCAATTTGATTGTACGTATGTATGTATAAAGTAGGGAGGGTGAGTGTATACCCACAGCACTTAGGCCACATCTGACCAATTGTACGTCTTCCAGAGGAGTTGCCCTCCGAGGCCCTCGTCCATTCTTTTCTTTCCAGGAAGGTGGACAAGTCACTTGGAAACATCTTCTTTATATCGGCAGGTGTAGGCCAAGACTCGCCGAACACACACTTCCTTCGGCAACCTTGAGGTATCTCACGACGGCCTCCGCGAAGGTTTTGGAAGGTGCAGCGACATTATTGTCATTGCGCAGCTTCTTCAACCTTCCTGGAATTTCCCTAATGGAGGTGTTCAAGTGAGGGTGCTTTCCTGCAGGG